AAAATTACGATAAATGTTCTTAGACTATTCTATCAATTGTTGATGTATTTGAGCAGACTTTGGGGTGCGGGTGTGGGTGTTGATGAGTAGAAGAACAGGAAGCACACCCACACCCACACCCTAATTCGTGGTTAGCCGACCTAAAGTCATCTGGTGAGATGGCTAAATTATTTGAGCTACAATGTGATGTGTTTTTCAAGTTTTAGATAAACTGTCATCATATGGCGCATAATGCTCAGTAAAATGGATAGCCAATGTCCACAGCTCCCGTCAATAATTTTAAAAAACGTTTCATTTACTGGATATAATCAGTTTGCGTTAGTAAAATACTCTTCCAGATTCACATCAATTTGAGTTTTTGCTTTAAGAATGCCGTATCAATGATCAAATTTGTTGTTAGTTAATAATATAAGTCAACACAACAAGTATAGTTAGCTCACAGTCAGAAGCTTTCGATTCTTGTTCTTATTGTGTTTCCATGTTTCTTAGTCTTTTCTGTTTTCATTCTTTTATTATGCTCATGACAAAATCGGAACAAGAAAATAATAGGTTTGATGAACGTTGATATTAAGTAACGAAGAGAAATGGTGAACGCACATGTTTTGAGTTCCATCTTTTGGTATTTTGTTGTGTGAATGCTAGACTAGGTAAAGTCGTCGATAGAGTCATACACTCAATAACAACAAGAACTAAAATGAAGTATAAATCACGCCAAACATCTGACCGAGTTGTATTACATTACATAGTATGATTTGAATATAATATCAGAATCAAACATTTTAGGCGTAACGTCAGAACATATTTTTAATCAACAAAATGTTAGATGGATTTCAGGTTATTTTTAAAGACAAGAGATTAAAGTTGTTTAGTCAAAAGTTGCTTATTTGGTCAAGTTGTTAGATGCAAGATCATTCTTTCAACTAACCTAAAGAAAGAGTTGTATAACATTCAAAAAAGTTCATTTCTTGAATGACATCGCTCCAAAAGCCACTCGACGTCAATGGAACAAACCATTCGATGTTCCATAAAAAGCTACATTGAAAGCATATTTTTTAAATTTCTTTCAATTCGTTTTGACGATTTTGTAAACTGACTAATTTTTAGAATTTTTCGAGTTTATTAAATTACTATTATGCAAAAAATATCTATTTACAAGAAAAAATTTTAATCGATAACATCAGAAGAAAAGTATTCGCATAGATGATTTGATGGACCGTTTCAAGCTCTATTGGTTGTCATATTTAGTTCAAACTGTAAATCAGAAAATACTACGAACTTAGTTTGCAGATGTAATTAACCTTGCATCGCATTTCAGTTATATTGTGTTGAAATAAAAATTCTTTTTTTGTATTTTCCTCTGCTATTCGTCAGCGTGCTTTTTTAAACCAACAGAAACTAAGATCGACTCGAAATTTCACTGTTGAAGAATAACTTCGGAGATTTATAAAGTCTTGCAACGCACAAATTATAACATAGTATTAAGTCAATAGGATGAGTTGTTCGTTTTTCGTTGTATCCTATCTATTGTTTGTTTTTCTTTTTGCTTGTGTCCATCGATACTGGTGAAGAATCGATAGCACGTGATAAAAATAGCATGAAATTCAAATTAGTTCCACTGTTCATTTCATTCTTCTATTTAAGAACAATTTGTCTAACCTATTTTTATTACCTTCTAGCTTCCACTTCCAGAAAAATGTTTTCATTAATACAAGGAAAGAACAAAAATATTTTTGTTGTCTGAGGAAGACAACTATGTTGTCAAAATGTTATGGTTAAAATAAAAATAAAAAAGATCAAATGGTGATGACATGAAGCTCATTGAAGAAAAAATGAAATCTTTGAAACAAGCTCAAAAAATTAACACGCTTTGCATCGTTTATGAAATCTGAACCTGCGAAACGCGTTTTATTCGAATAAGAATACATTGTTTTCTGCCTTCTTTTAAAAAGAAATGCCGAGTAACGCATTTTTTAGTGTGTTTCGTTAATTTTTTACGCCATGGACAGTATTTACACTATGGATATACTCAAGATCAGCAAAGCTTTATTATATCTTTGGAGAGACTTTTACCGTGGATCTTTTTGTGGCAAAATTACAATAAATTAATGATGTAATAGTATAAACAATTATTTTAATAGTTAGATAAAGACATTTTCCAGATCTTCTTCTTTAGAAAAAAGATGGAATTGAATGGCTAAATCAGTGAAAAAGAATTTTGACGGGTACTCATGGATACTTTGTTTCTTATTTTTATGGAGGGCAAAGAACTCATCATTGATCTACAGAGACGTCATTCCTGCTTGACAGCGATTGTCATATCACATCAACAATAAGGAATTCATGGCTGCATAAACACTGATGTTGATGATAAAAAAAAGAAATAAAATGGCAAATGTGCTTCTTCAATATTTTTTCTTCATTCAAAAATCTGCGATGATATATAACTGTCGAGATGTAAATGAAAATAATCCTTGCTAGGAGACATGATTAGTGAGCCATTATTTATTGTGAACTATACAATATCATCTATATTTTCCGTTATTGGCTTGATTTTATGTTTGCTGATGATCTTTATCATTGCTACACATAGGCCATGTTATACAGTTACCAATCTTCTCGTATGTAATACAAGTGCATTCGTTGCTAGCTTTCAAATTAATTCTCTCATTGGATCTGTCTACGGTTTTCTCCCAGCATCATCAGAATATCAACCTCTATGTACCTTTCGAGCCCTCTGGTGTCTTATCTCAATAACTGGTACGTGTTATTCGTATGCTTTACAATCCATTAGTCGTCTCTTTTTTGCGGTGCTCTACAAATACAAATATCTTGTCACATTTCGTGTTCACTGGTATATGATTATTTTGAATTGGATTATGAGTATTGCTATATCGGCCGTGTCATTGGCCAATCCTGATCTCTTAGGACTCGACAAAGAAGTGCGTCTTTGTACGATCAACGTTAGACTTTTGAAACTAACTGTGTTTGGCCTTGTAGCTGGATTGGTTGTGCCACTTTGCATTGTTATGAGTGTTTATGGTGTTATTCTGTATCGTGCATATAAATCATCTCGACAGATCTCCAATATGGCATCACGTACTACAACACCACGTGTGACAAATGCGAGACGTGAAGTCAAACTTGCTAAGAACATCCTGATGTTAGTGGGAATTTTCGGCAGCGGTGGAATACTCTTTATGATCATTATTTGTTGGCAGATCGTCACACCGATGTGTTCGTCGCCAAAGGAATTGCATTTGTTTAGTATTACTGCATCAGTGGTTTCTAGCACTGCTATGATGATAGCTCTCTTCGTCATGAACAAAGAAGTGAGAGATGTTGTTCTTCACGGTCGTCAATTTCTGTTTCAATCTATTTATCCGTCATCCACTGCGCAGCGAATAGCATTAAACACTAACAGAAAATGACAATATTAGAATGTCGTGCCAGAGGAAAGACAAAGTCGACAGTTTCCATCAAGAAATAAAATATTTCTCGATTTCTTTTACACATTGATACTACAATAATAAAACAGGGTATGAGTGCGTGGG